CTTCGCCGCAAGATAGCGAACAAGATTCACCCATAACTCAATGGGTGCATCTTGCTTGGTTACGAAGAGCAGAGAGTCGCACAGCGCGATGACGCGTTCCTTCTCGGTGTCGCGAGCGAGGTTGTCACCGTTGATCCGTGGCTGCCGGCCAGCTTCAGCAAGAAGCTTTTCCTGGTGCTTGACCGCCTCTTTGTGCTTCGTTGTTGTAGCATGCCTCTTGAAAGCCTGTGTCTGTACGTCCGACGCGCCCCTCCCGCCCTTCCCGCACTTTCCAGAGTAACCTGCATGCTCGGTACAGATAGAGCACTTGAAAGCTGGGAGACCGTCAGATTGCCGCAAAAGAATGAGCCACGGAAACCTGTCTAGCCACTCGGTCTTGTACTTATACAGAGACTCAGCGTAAATCGCGTCGCGTCCTGGCTGCTTAGAAGGACCAGGAACCGATGGCGACTCCTGTGGGCCGGCAATCACGGGCGACGACCGTTGGTCGGCTGGCGAAGGCGGGGTAGCTCCGTCGTCAGCGCCCTTTGTAAACCATGGCAGCGTTGACTGCATGTATCGGCTGGATTTCTTGGTCACGTGTTCGGGAGCCAGTTTTTCAGCTGGAGGTGGCAAGCTGTCCTGCTCTGTGACTGGCGCTGCCGGGGATGCACACCAACCCTCCTCATCGATGTGTTCGAACGGGATTTTGTCGGGCGGCTGAGGATCTGGTGGCTTCTCGTTGTCGTTGATTTCCGCTATGCTCGAAAACAATAAATCGAGGCCCGTCACTGCTTCAGAACAGATTACAGGCGGCTGGCGATGCGCCAGACCGCCGTGTTCGCCGTTTGTTTCCGTGCCGTCAAGGTATTCCAGTTGAAATTTATTTGTATACATTCATGTCAGAATGTTATGTTTTGTCTAGCCTGCAGTGGGGTACTCAATAGCGGGTACAACCCAACTAGGGTTTGCTATATGTATCACAACTGCTGCTAGTAAAACCCTCTTCTTTTGCCTAAACTTTCTCTTGCCTAGCTAGGGCTTACCTAGCCATGGCTCCTAATTCCACTGGTTTTCTCACATGGTATCAGAGCAGTTCGACCCCCTTGGGTCGATCCTGTGGGTGGGCCCGCCACCCAACTGCTTCCGCTGCTGTTCCGCTTCTAGCGCGCCTAGGGCGCGCGCTGTCTCCTTCCTGCCGTGCGCCCCGAGGCGCGCGGCGGTTTCGCGCCCTGGGGAGCCTGCGCGCGCCCCGCCTGTCCGTCGCGTCGCCCTGGGGAGCACGCGCGGCCCCCCGCCCAGCTTGTCGCGGCGCCCTGGGGAGCCCGCGCGCGCCCCGCTTGTTCGTCGCGGCGCTCTGGGGAGCACGCGCGGCTCCGCCCTGCTCGCCGCAACGCCCTGGGGAGCCGCGCGCGCCCCCTGCCTGTCCGTCGCGGCGCCCTGGGGAGCCGCGCCCGCCCCCTGCCCGTCCGTCGCGGCGCCCTGGGGAGCCGCGCGCGCCACCCCTCCGCCCCGCCCGTCCGTTTTGGCCCCCTGGGGGTCGTGCGCCGTCCCTCCCCTCGCCGTCCCCCGCGCTCCTGCCCCTATCCCACCCGTTTTAGGGTTTTGGGGGTGAGGGGTGTGGGGGTGGCGGTTGTGGGGGTGTCGGTTGTGTGCGCCGTCCCCTATTCATCCTCCTCCTTCGTCTCCCACTGCTGCAGCTGTCGCTGAGGGGGGTGGATGTGTGGGAGCCTGGGGTTTAGGGTTTAAGGGGGGTGCCGTGGGAGTGGAGCTAGGGTTTGAGCAAGGGGTGTGTGAAAGGGGGGTGGGACAGTTTGGGGGAGGTTGAAGGGAGGTAGCTGTCGTGTCGCTAGCAGCGCCAGTAGTCCGGAGGCTACAATCTCCGGTAGCCCAGCGAGTAAGTAGTCCGGAGGCTACAATCTCCGGTCGCCAGCTGCGCCAGTCGCCCGTGGGTCCGTTGCTCCTGCAGCTCAGAGTTAGTCGCGGAGCCAGTTACTGCAGTAGTCCGGAGGCTACAATCTCCGGTAGCCACAGTGCGTGCCGCTCCTGTTGCCCGTGTGTCTGCAGCTTCAGCCGTTGCCTCCTCTCTCCTTTCCTATCAGTCTAGCCTCCTCCTCCTCACTTGCCCTCTGTGACTGCCTCTAGCTTTGCTTATATTTGTGAACTATAAACTGCTGTTGCTTGTACTTGTGCTCAGAATGTGTGGTGACATTGTGATCCACCCTGAGCTTGTTTTGCTTTTCTTGTTGTGCTGATTACACCCCACTTTGGCTATGGGGGTGTGTCAGAATGTTATGTTTTGTCTAGCCTGCAGTGGGGTACTCAATAGCGGGTACAACCCAACTAGGGTTTGCTATATGTATCACAACTGCTGCTAGTAAAACCCTCTTTTTTTGCCTAAACTTTCTCTTGCCTAGCTAGGGCTTACCTAGCCATGGCTCCTAATTCCACTTGTTTTCTCACAATTCATATAAATGCCTACAGTAGCCTAGTGCAGTTATCTTCGTTTCCTGCTAGGTGGTGTACCATTTGCCTAATTCCTTGCCTATATCTTGTATGCCCTCTACTATTGAACCTCTCTTTTTGGCTTGCACTTTTCCTCTCGTCACTCTCGCCTAGGTCAAACCCTAGGCCCCTAAACTATTATGTTTGACATGGTATCAGAGCGAAGGTCTCGGGTTCAAATCCCAGCGTGTGCACTTCGGGCATCCCAGTGCGGGGGGGTGTCAGAGGTCCACTGGTGATCCCCGATTGATCCTAGGGAAAGGTTACAGGCTCGTTGTCATGGGGGGTTATGGGCGCACTGACCCGCTACTTAACAAGCCCTTCTATCCTAATGGTCTAGTGACTGGGATTCTGACATGTTATCAGAGCGAAGGTCTCGGGTACGAATCCCAGTGTGTGCACTTCGGGCATCCCAGTGCGAGGGGGTGTCAGAGGTCCACTGGTGATCCCCGATTGATCCTAGGGAAGGGTTACAGGCTCGTTGTCCTGGGGGGTTATGGGCGCACTGACCCGCTACTTAACAAGCCCTTTTATCCCAATGGTCTAGTGGTTGGGATTCTGACATGGTATAAGAGTGGTCTCGGGTTCGAATCCCAGTATGTGCACTTCGGGCATCTCAGTGCGGGGGGGTGTCAGAGGTCCACTGGTGATCCCCGATTGATCCTAGGGAAGGGTTACAGGCTCGTTGTCCTGGGGGGTTATGGGCGCACTGACCCGTTACTTAACAAGCCCTTTTATCCCAATGGTCTAGTGGTTGGGATTCTGACAGAATAGTAAGAGTAGGGCCTAGGCTTAGTAGCCTAGGCCAAAGGGAGTCGAGAGAGTTTAGGCAAAGAGAGTTTGAGTTCACTATGGAGCGAGGTACAAATAGCAAACAAAGCATGCAAAGAAGGTACACCACCAACAAGTTTATAATAACTACACTAACTACAGCTACAGGCAGTTACAGATATATTCTAACAAGGAACGTTGGCAGCCCTCCAGCACCACATGGTGGCCACTGGCCACGTTCGGATTGGCCAAGAAAAGATGCTGCAGCAAAACGGCCCAATGATGTGTGGCGTCGCGCCAACAAAGCACCTCTCAATCGTGAATTTGAGGCAAAATTTCACTGGTTCGTCTCGCCCCGCGGTGCCTACACCACAGGAATCTGAGATTCCCTGTAATTGCGGTCAAATCCACACGACACAGGTAAGAATCGCTTTCAGTGTTAGTTTCGTTTCAACGTTGTGGCATCAGTGTACTTGGAAAAAAAAATATTGAAATTTCAGTGTGGCCTCACAAAAAAGGCTGAAAGATCAGTCCCACAAAAATCTTAACACTGGTTTTTCAAGGTAGGTCGAGAATGGACTGCCAAAATCAGGAATTTCAGGGTTTTTTTCCTGATATCTGAGGCCCTGCTCGTAGCCTAATTGGGCAACCGAATTACGAAGTGAACAAACCAGCCCACCAACAGAATTCCCAAGTAGTGGTATGGCTTGAACAGACTCCCATACTGTAAACTTCTCGTTTCGGTACATGCACCAACAATTGCAAAAAAAACAAACCTAGATAGCAGACACCAAGTTTATATGGAATGGCCAATGTGCTTTTTGCTAGAGTAAAATATCATTCTAGATACCACCACCTCTCTAACATTGGCATCACCAAGGTAAAGTATTGGAATTGTTTTCTTGGATTGACTGGCCAGGATGATTTGCTTGAAGACCTTTCTTACATCATGATAAGAAAATTAGAATCGACAAGTGTTTTCAGGGTTGTGCTCTCTTGATTTCCACAATCCTTTGAAAACATTTGATTACATGTGTTATTTTTGCCATGCATCACTTCATTGTTGCACCTGCTCTTAGTGCAGCATGATTGTGATCCATGGAAAATTTTGTGCTAATTTCTTGCTTTACCTGAAGTTGGCAGGCATAGCGCTCTTCCCGAGTTGAGTGTAGTAGCATTTGAATTCCCCCTTCCCCTTGTGTTTCCCTCTATTCCATCACATCCTGCTTCACCTCGCCTTCTTGCCTGCTGCTGCTTTCGGGAATGTCTAGGTCTCCTCAGGGTTGAGGTCCCTCAAGGCCGAGTAGAGTGAAATAATGGCTTGCTCATGGAGTAAGTCAGGTCATACTTTGAGAACGAGCCGTGAGCAGCATACTGTATTGAATGACGATTGAGCAACGAAAAGGCCAAGTCCGCGTGGCGTAGGCGAAGAGGAGGAAGAGAACCAAGTGATTCTCAATCATGGGAGCTTAAGTCGCTCTATCATGCGTGTGTCGCTAGGAGGCGCGAGTGTTTCCCGCGTTCTTCCCTCTCGCCATCCTTCAAGCCTTCCCTCGCGCCACCCGTCACGCGCTGATTCATTACTGTATTATGCTACTTCAGTTTGTAGCTAACGCTGCTCCCAAGAGGTGACTTGTGAGTCGTCTCAAAAGTCGAGTTTATTCCATTACTGTAATGCTCTAAGTCAAGGGAATCCCTCGACCAAGATCCCTCGATTCGCTGCTAACGCTGCTCCCAGGAGACCAATGGAAGACAAGTGTCCTTTTTGCGGCAGCCGAGAAGGTGCGCGGAACCTTCCCGCTCCGCACGGTCCGGCGCAGAGTCTGTCGCACCAGCTGTCGCAGAATCCGTCGCACGGCCAAGCTAACCATAATACTCCCCATCACCCGCATCATGCGGCGCATCACGCGGCGCAGCAGCCGCCGGCACAGGCGCCGTATGAGACGGTCCTAGTGGCGTGCGCTAGCTGCGCTCGAATCGTCGCGGAGCGGCGGATTATTCCTCTGCTGTTCGTTCCGCGCACAGTCGAGGAATCTTCCTTCTGCCTACCCGCAAGGGACGTGCTGTTGCACGCGAAGCTTCGTCCGGACGAGGTGAGAGCAGCAGCGGATAAAATAGAGGAGATACAAGCTGCAAAGGAAGCAGAAATTAAAGCCGAAGACAATGAGGAGGTCAAGGCAGAGGTAGGGAAAAAAACTGAAACAAGAACAGCAGCAGCAGCAGCAGCAGGTGACAGTCGAGGAACTGCTGTTTCAGGGAAGCCAGATGTGAAGGTGGAGACTGAGGAGGGTTTGACGGAGAAGGGGAGGAGGGAGGAGGGGAAGAAGAGAGAAGGTTTGGGAAGGGAAGGGGAGGAGAAGGTAGCAGGAGAGCAGGTGAGGAGGGAGGAGGAGATTAACCCACTGGTAGGGTTTGATTTAAACTTTGATCTGAACATGGATGCGATGGACGGTGGAGATGAAGTGACAGGAGGGAGTATGGACGGTGGAGATGAAGCGTTGGACAAGGGTCTAGTCTCGAAAGCGCAAGAGGGGAAAGAGGAAGACGAGGAGGAGGAAGAAGAAGAGGAAGAGGAGGAGGATGAAGAGGAGGAAGAGGAGGAGGACGAGGAGGAGGAGGAAGACGAAGAAGAAGAAGAGGAGGACACGGAGGAAGGAGAAGCGGCACCGGAAGACCAAACGAGCCCCAACTCCCTCCATTCCCTCACGGACGAAGATCCACCTCACCGCTTCCTGGACCCCTCAGACCAGTTCCTGGACGTCTTCTCGTCGCTCTCCCTCGAGTCCGCCCCGCCGCTCTTCTGCGCCGCCTCGCTGCCCTTCTCGGGGCAGCTGGCGGAGATGGAGCGGCTGATTGGCCCGGTGCTGTACACGGGGTGCTCGGGGGGAGCGGGGGGGAGTGCTGTGGGGACAACGGATTTTCTACGCGCCTATTTTCAGGTGAGACGGTCAGAATGGTGTTAGGGTTGGCTGACATTGGGCTGCCTCGCTGCCCTTCTCAGGCCAGCTGGCGGAGATGGAGCGGCCGATCGGTCCTGTGCTGTACACCGGGTGCTCGGGGGGGGGGACAGGAGCAAGTGCCGAGGGGACGACTGATTTCCTCCGCGCCTATTTCCAGGTGAGACCCTGATTGTACAGGGACTCTCTTTTTGCTTCCTCTCTGCCCTACTCGGGGCAGCTGGCGGAGATGGAGCGGCTGATAGGGTTCGTGCTTTGCTCAGGGTGCTGAGGAGGGGCAGGGGGGGAATGTAATCAGCACCACTGATTTCCGCCGCACCTACTTCCAGAGGGGGAGTGCCCAGGGCACAACTGATTGATGCACGTCAGCTTCCGAGGAGACGCTCCGAGTAAGGGGACTCCTCAGAATACCACCTTCCAGGAAACAGCAGTACCATCTTCCTCCCGCTCCTTTCCCTCCTCTGTCTCCTTCCCCCCCTTCCTTCCTTTCAGATCCTAGAGGTGAGCGGGCTGCTGGACATAGATCAGAGCATCACAGACCACGCGGTTACCCTATTCCGCGACTACGTGGTGTCAGCAGGCGGGGCGCGGAACCGCAACATCGAGGCGCTGGCCACCCCAGCCGTGGTGCAGGCCATGCGCGAGGCGCAGGAGGTACAGGAGAGGAGGTCTGCTGGCCATTGGAGAGACCCGAGCATCACGGACCACTTTTGAGCCGACTCAAAGCTCTCCTTCTCACCCCTCTCCCTCTCCCCCCCACTACCCCCAGATTCTGGAAGTGAGCGGGCTGCTGGAGATAGATCAAAGCATAACGGACCACGCGGTTACCCTATTCCGCGACTACGTGGTGTCGGCAGGCGGGGCGCGGAACCGCAACATCGAGGCGCTAGCCACCGCAGCCGTGGTGCAGGCCATGCGCGAGGCGCAGGAGGCCCGCACCCTCCAGGAAGTTTCCCTGGTGGCGGGGATTGCGGTGAAGGAGTTGGGGAGGAGTTTGAAGGGGTTGATGGAGGTGCTGCGGCTGCAGCAGCCTGTGAACTCCAACTCTGTCTCCTTCCACATGCCCCGCTTTGGATCCATCCTGCAGCTCCGCAAGTCCACCCAGGTGGGGTGGGCACGCTGTTTGTTACTCTCTTACTCCCTCACTCGTTCACTTGCTCACTCACGCACTCACTTTTACACTCGGCGTTCAACGATTCAGCCAGTGGGCTGATCTGGCAACGAGTGAGTTTCTTGGCTGCAGCAGCCTGTCAACTTCAACTCCGTCTCCTTCCACATGCCTCGATTCGGGTCCATCCTGCAGCTCCGCAAGTCCACCCAGGTGGGACAGGCTCCCTGTCTCTCTCACTTTCTCTCTCACACACTCATTCACTCGCTCACTCGCTCAATCAATCGCCGCCAGCATCGCCGTTGGGCCAACTTTTTACCTTGTGTTTTGCTTCTGTCCCCACTGTCTTCCCTACTCCTCTTCCCTTCTCCCCCTTACAACCATGCCACCAGGACCTAGCAACGCACGTGGGAGAGGTGGTGATATCCAAGTCCTTCTGCACGCGCCGCAACCCCATCAGCATCAGCGCTGCCGCCATCTACCTCGCGTGCCAGCTGGAAGACAAGAGGCGCACTCAGACTGAGATCTGCAAGGCCACCGGCCTCACAGAGGTGGGTGCAGTGTGGTGGAAATGGGGTGCAGTGCGGTTGAAAGAAGTTTTTTATGGGTCTGGCATCAGCGCTGCAGCCATTTACCTCGCCTGCCAGCTGGAGGACAAGAGGCGCACTCAGACCGAGATCTGCAAGGCCACCGGCCTCACCGAGGTGCGTGCAGTGCGGTGGAAACAGATTCTGCATGGTGTGAATGGGTGGAGTGTGGTTCAGAGAGGTGGCCTGTCTGTCGGTGCATATGTGTGATTATATGTATGGACCAGTGTGTCATGTGTCTGCTCCTGTATATGGACCAGTGTGTGCTCATATGTATGAGCATGAGTATACATGTATCCGTGTGTGCCTGTGTGCACAGGTGACGCTAAGGAAGGTGTACAAGGAGCTGCTGGAGAACATAGACGACCTGCTCCCTCAGGGATGCATGTCTGAGTGCTCATGTGTTTTCTTGTGTGCGCATCTTGTCTTTGTCTCCACTACCAGGTGACGCTAAGGAAGGTGTACAAGGAGCTGCTGGAGAACATAGACGACCTGCTGCCTCTGGGTTACGAGCCCACCATTCCTGCTTGCAGGGTCGCCAGCAGTCAGTGGGTGTGTTTTCCGTCTGTGCCCATGTGTGCTTATACCTGTGTGTGCCCAAATCTGTGTGTGCAGGTGACACTAAGGAAGGTACACAAGGAGCTGTTGGAGAACATCGACGATCTGCTGCCTCCGGGCTACGAGCAGTCAGTGGGTGTGTTCGTGTCTGAGACCGTGTGTGCTTATCCCTTCGTCTCCACTACCAGGTGACGCAAGGAAGGTGTACAAGGAGCTGCTGAGAACATAGATGACCTGCTCCCTCCGGGATACGTGTCTATCTGCTTATGCTGTGTCTGCTCTGCTCGTGTGCGCTTCCTATTCGTCTGAACTACCCCAGGTGACCCTAAGGAAGGTGTACAAGGAGCTATTGGAGAACATAGACGACCTGCTCCCTCCGGGCTACGAGCCAACCATCCCTGCGTGCAGAGTCGCTAGCATGCCCCTCTCTGGCCATGGCGCAGGGGGAGGGGGAGGGGCAGGAGGTGGGGGGAAGGGGGGAGGCGCAGGAGGGGGAGGGGGAGGCAAGGGAGCGGGAGGAGGGGAAGGAGGAGGGGGTGTTGCTGGCGGGAGGGATGGGAAAGCGGGAGGAGCAGCATCGGTGGCAAACGCAGCAGCAGCATCAGGGGCGGTGGGGGCGGCAGCAGCTAGGGCCTCATTTGTTGCAACGGCCCAAGGTGGGGCTGAAGCAGCATCAGGAGCAGGAGGAGACGGAGGAGGGGTGGGAGGTCGGGCGGGAGCACAGATACCATCTGCTGGGCACAAGGCCCCTTTCTCCCCTTTCGCCCATTTCGCTGCTCCTGCTGCAACCGTCGCCGCCACGCGTGCTGCTTCACCAGGCGTTCCGGTGACGCCTGCTGGTGTTTCTGCTGCTGCTGCTGCTGCTGCTGCCACTGCGTCTGGTTCAGCTACCCCTGCGGCATCCCTAGGAACTGCTTCCGGCCTCGGCAGGACCGACAGCCAGAGCTCCTTCCCGTCGTGCGCCAAATCACCTGACAGAGGCTCTGCGTTCCCCTCGTTTGGCACTCCACAGTTGATTCCTGAGGGCAGGGCTGAGGCCTGGCAGCAGCAGCAGCAGCAGCAGCAGCAGCAGCAGCAGCAGCTGGGTGTGCGACAGCAGCGGTCGCAGCAGCACTCACAACAGTATCAGCAGATGCAGCACTCGTTTCAGCAACAGCAGCAGCAGCAGCAGCAGCACCAGCAGCAACAACAATTTCAGCCGCAGCAGCAGCAACAGCAGCAGCATCAGTTTCAGCCCCAGCAGCAACATCGTTTTCAGCAGCAACAGCAGCAACAACAATTTCAGCAGCAGCAGCAGCAGCAGCAGCAGGGCAAACAGAACACACCACTCTCTCTCCCCACCTTCCCTTCTCCTCCCGTACGCCCCCCACTCTCCTCCACCTCCCCTCGTCCTCCCCTCTCCCTCCCCTTCCCCCCCTCTTCAACTTCCCCTCGTCCTCCCCTCTTTCTCCCGTTCCCATCCTCCCTCGCATCCTCCCCACACCCTCCTCCCCCTCTCCCTCCCTCATCCTTCCTCTCCTCTCCCTCTTCCCGCTCCGCTCCCCCCCTTCCCCCAGGCTCCTCCCCCTTCAAGCGCCCTCCCCTGGTTCTACCTGTATCAACCCCCCCTCTCTCTTCCTCCACCCCCAACCTATCTGCACCGTTCTCCACCGCGTCCTCTTCCTCCTCGCCATCCCCCATGGCCCTGCACATGCCTTCCCTAGCCTCCATGGCTGCTTCGGCACCAGCCACAGCTGCTAGTCCGGGGGCAGGGCTGGTGGGGATGGGAGTGGGAGGTGCTGTTGCTGGTGCTGCTGTTAATCCTGCTGCCAAGAGTGTATCTCCACTCGAGGATGTCTCTACCCAGAAGCCCCATGCAACGCCTCTCCTCTCCTTCACTCTTCCCCCCAACTTTCATCACCAGTTTTCTGCTACCCGCCCTCCATCCAATCCCCCCACTTTAGGCCCCGGTCCAAGATTCCCTGCCCCTGCTCTCTCTGTGCCCCTGCCTCCCTCCTCCGCTTCCAATCCTTCTCTTCTTCACGCCTCTCCTCCTGCTACTGCCCCGTCTGCTGCTGGTGCTGCAACCCTAGGTGGTGGTACTGCAGCTGCTGGCGCTACAGCCGCTGCCGCTGGTTCAGGGGGGAAGGGAGGCTTCTCGCTACTACAGCTTCCGAGAGAGCTAGCAGAGCCCTTCCCTCGCTCCTCCTCTGATTCCAGCCTCCGAACTGCCCCCCCCGCTGCTGCTGCTGCGTCTGGTGCTGCTGTTGGCCGCACAGGAGGGTTCGGAGGCATGGGAGGGATAGGAGGAGGAGCAGGAGGTGGCACAGCAACAGCAGCAAGTGGCCACGACAGTGGGAGTAGTGGTGGCGGGTTTGGTGGTGGGTTTGGTGGTGGGGGGAGTACTGGAGCAGTTGTTGGTGGAGGCACAAGCCAGGAGGTAGGGATGCAGGCAGCGAGAGGACGAGGGGCGGGGGGCAGAAGGGGAGGAAAGGGTGGGAGAGTGGGCGAGAGGTTGAGCGGGAGGGGAGCGGCAGGACCAGTGCCAGCGTCAGCAGCAGCAATGTCAACAGCAGCTGCAGGGGCAGCACAATCAAGCAGCCATATTCAGCATGGATCGTTAGTAGCACCACCGTTCTTAGGAGGTGGCAGTAAGGGCGGGTCTGCTGGGGCTGAGGAGATGAGTAGCCCATTCCGCTTTGGGGCAACATTCCAAGCTCCCCAAACAGGCCAGCAGTCAGTCTCAAGTCAGAATCAGCAACAGCACCAGCAGCAGCAGCAGCAGCAGAGCCAGAAGGGAATCCACGTCTCTCCTATGCTTTCTGTTAGCGGTGGTGGTAGTGCTATTGGTGCTGGTTTTGTTGGTAGTGTTATTAGTGCTGCGTTTGCTGGTAATGCTGCTTTGGCAGCTACTAGTGGTACACGTTCTGCTGCACAAGGCACAACTGCTGCTGTTGCTACAGCTGCTGCTGCAGCTGATGGTGGTGCAGCTCCTAATGCGGCCACCCCCTCGTCTCTTCCTGCCTGGATGACCCACGTGCATCGCCAGCAGCAGCAGCAGCCACTGCCCCAGCATCAGCAGCAGACACAGCCGCAGCAACTGCACCAGCAGCAGCCGCAGCAACCGCTGCAGCATCAACAACAGCAGCACCAGCCAAACCAGCAGTTGCAGCAGCAGCAGCAGCAGCAGCAGCAGCAGCAGCATCAGCGGCAGCAGCTCCAGCAACAGCAACGTCTCCAGCAGCAACAGCAGCACCCACAACAGTCGCACCACCAGCACCATCAACAGCAGCAGCAGCATCACCCTCACGCCCAGCTGACACAGCACCCGCCCACCCATCCTTCTCCATTCTTTGCCCCTTTTCCATTCGCTCTTCCTAATCAAGGAGGACCTACACCACAGTTACCCCCAGGGTTACGACCCGAGCACATGGCAAATGCTGGTACACCTCAAGGGGTTCCGCCGTTTCTTAGAGAGGCCAAGCCTGGTTTGTTCATGCAGTCTTTACAGCAGTCGCCAAACCCCATGCAGAACAGAAATAACAAGCATTAAGGACAAACATAAACATATGTATATCTTTGCAAGCATTTGCTATGAATTGTTCTAGCTCGTGGGTCTATATGCTGCTTTATATCATCTCTAAAAATATTAAATATGTTTCTGTACCAGCCATTTCATTCCAGTTCTTTGTTTCAGCATTCACAAAATTTCCCTTCAACAGTTGCAAGGATCAGAATTTCTATGTAACTCCTTCAGTTGTGAAGTACATTGTCCGCCATGGCCGCAATTGCCGGGTGCGCGGTTCCTTGCGTCACCGGCCTGAGCCTGACCCCCATCCCCCAGGATTTCTCCGAATCCTCCGTGCAGCTGCTGCGAAATGTCACGGCGAGCGCGTTACCAGCCGTTACAAAACTGACGATCAACGATGCAGGAGCTCGCGTGGTCTTTTCGAGGTTAGGATTGCGTTTTCATGGCGATACTCCGCTCGTTACCTTATCGATTTCCAGCATGCATTTTCTGGTCTCCTAACGGCAGCGTTTTGATTTCTGACAGCAAACCACGACACAATTTGCAATGACGAAACGGAAACAAAAGTTAAACGAAATCGCGTACGTTTTCCTGCACTTAGCTCGCACCACCTACGCCTTTCAGGCGCCTCTCCCGGTCCCTGCGCGTTTCCCCGTCACTGTCAGGAGTATCTACAGCACCGCCACGTGGCAGCAGTCGAACGACCAGAGCCATGGCAGGAACCTCGCCTGGCAGCAACCAGTCAGGAGGTCGCGACGGATCCTCTGCTTCCGATCTCAGCAGCGTCTGTGTGGTACGGAGAACCGGGAGTCTGCTTATGATCATTATGGATAATTGTGGGTGATCATGGGTGATCATGGGTGATGATGGGTGATGATGGGTGATTATGGTTCATCATGGGTGATCATGGGTGATCATATATGACAATGGATGGATGGTCACAGATGACACTGGTTGATCATGGACCATCATGGACCATCATGGATGGTCATGGATCAGATTATGGAAATTCATGGATTATCATAACCGTCATAATAGCATGACTTGCTACCACGGGTCGGCACGGCTATCATTGACCATCGTGGACCATCGTTGACCAGAATTGATTGCATTGACTTGTACGGACAGCAATGTGACAGCATTGACCGTCATGAACATCTTGGCCTTTAACATAGCACCTATCAGTGGCATTTATGATGGTTCATGGCAGGTGGGCTGTGGAGGGCTGTGCATCGACTATCTCGCCACCGTCACCGCCTTTCCCCACCCAGACGACAAGATCCGTAGCACCTCTTTCGAGGTACGTTGGTGTTCCTCTCTTCTAATCAATTTTCCTTCCACGGCCCTCGTGACCGTTGCAGCTCTCATGCAGTTTGGGGTTATCAAGGTCGTGTGTCTGCTCTGCTGCGCTGCTCGTGTGTGTGTGTGTGTGTGCTCTTCAGGTGCAAGGCGGAGGCAATGTGGGCAACACACTCACGGCCATCTCTCGCCTTGGGCTCTCCACACGCATTTTCACCAAGGCGCGTTGGATTATTCATCCCATCAGCACACAAGTTTCACCGCCAGCCTTCCTGTCTTCCCTGGTCCAGCCACTTCCCCTCCCCCTACCACTGCTCCCCGTCCTCGGGTTTTTCTTCTTCCCCTTTACCTCAACTCCTCGTCCTTCCCCCCTCCCATCCCCCCACACACCACCTCCGAACCTGTCCGGCCTGAGCGACAGCTGGCGGACGACCTGGTGGGCAAGGCGATGATTGCAGAGCTGCAGGCGGACGGCGTGGACACGTCACACATCATTGTGAGTCCATGCCACGTCAGTAGGTGTGAACTCCACATCGTTGCCAGTGCCACGTCAGTGGGAGCAAGTTCCAGGTCATTGTTACTCCAATCCTTGCCACACCAGTGGAAGGGAGTTTTACACATCATTGCAAGAGACTGCCGTTCACATCACACTACCTGAAAGCCCCATGCATTATTATGTACTGGTATCTTCATGTGTGTGCCTGCCTGGTTGGTGTGTGCTGGCAGCTTGGGAAGGGGGGCATGTCTCCATCCACATACATCATTGTGGACCAACAGACGTCAGTGCCTCCCTGCACTCTTCCTTGCTTCCATCATCTCTCCCTTTCTACACCTTGCTTTCACCCTCTCTACCTTCATCTCAATCTCTCGCTTGTTTGTCTCCTGAATTGTTTATCTCATATTCTATCGTTTCATGGCTTTCCATGCCCTGCGCACCTTGTTCTTCTCCTCTTACCCCTTCCACTCCGTTACCCTTCCACCCCGTTACTCCTCCTCCCTTCCCCCCTTCAGCAACACTCGCACGTGCATCCACACACCCGGCTCCCCACCTCTGCTCCCCTCGGAGCTGTCAGCTGCTGCCATCACGTCTCTGCTCTCAGGAGCTTCTCTCGCCTACTTTGATGGCCGCCTCGCCGACACCACCATCCGCATATGCCAGCAGGTGCACTAACTTCTAATTCACAGCTGGATGTTTTGCCTTGGATCCATGCAAAGCATTTGTAAGGCGCGTCGCAAACAGAAATGGCACAACGTATGTGACACTGGAAGCATGCATTTTGTCTGTGAGGCGCCTCAGAGACAATCATTGTTTTCCTGCGCGGACCGCATGGCTGATGATGCCTGCCATGAAGGGGCCCTGGATTTGCCTTTGCTGGTGGCAGTGAAAGAATCTATGCCATTGCACCCAGCCTCAACCTGCGATACTGTCTCCCCTCTTCCTTTTTCCCACCGCGCTCGTCATCAGGTGGTGGCCCTTGGTCTGGCAGTGATAATGGACGCTGAGAAGCTTCAGATGTTCACCCCCCTCCTCCTTCCCCCACCCACTTCCTGTTACCAGGCGGTGGCTCTGGGTCTGCCGGTGCTGGTGGATGCTGAAAAACCCCGAGAAGGGCTGGATGACCTGCTGGCCCATGCCACATTTGTCGTCGTTTCCGAGAAGTTTCCGCAGGTCAGTTTGGGTGGTTAGCAGCCAGTTCCACCTTCACGCATCTTGCACCTTTTCCCTCTGCAGCACTGCAGCGCGTCTCGGGAGGCATGCAGCCAGTGCTAAATCCATGGCCTTGGGGGGGGCACCACGTTGGGAACCCAGCATGTTTCGACAGATGGCTTGATGCATGTACGTGGCATGGCATGGACGGCTGGCTTGGCATGCGTGCAGGCATGGACGGGGGAGGAGACGCTGGGAGCAGCCCTGCTGGCCATGGCTGTGCGCCTGCCAAGGGCACAGTTTATTATAGTCACACTGGGGGCGGCCGGATGTGCCATGCTGGACCGACGGGTGGCTGCAGGTGAGGGCTTGCTGCAGAGAGTGCTGTGTGCTGTGCGGTGCAGAGCGGTCTTCAGGGAGAGTGTTTCAGTTCTGATTCGTATGGGTAGAAGTGGGCAGCGACTCTCTTCGCAACGGGACGTTCTAATGGCTGCTCCCCCCAGAACCCCCTGCTCTGCACGATGTTGCTCCCCCTCCCCATGTTTGCCTTCAGTTATCCTATTTTCCTGTTTCGCCCCCTCCTAATCATCATGCGTCACCACTCTTCATGATATCCCCTCCCCCTCCTCACCTTCTCCCTGCACCTCTCCTCTGCAGCCTCGGATGCACCCAGTGAGGATGTGGACAGGGCACTGCAATGGGTGATCAGAGCTGCAAAGGAGAAGGGCAGCAAGCAAGGCGACCCTGCAGTCTTCTCCTCTCGGGTACTCATTCTCCCATCTCTGCGCTGCTGCTACCCTTGCTCCTTTGCTCTCCATGCCTATGGCTCCTGATTGTCTCACCCTGCCTGCGATTTTCCTCTTTGTTTGGCCGAGGCATCCAATCTTGGTGGCTGAGATTTTCTCTTTGCCATCCGTCCTATTCCTTGTCACACAGCCTCTGCATCTGAAATCATCGGCACAAGGGACGGAAGTTGCCGCCCAGCTGGTGGCAGCGACAGCTGTGCTGCTGGAGGCAGGGCAGGTGGTGGATACCACCGGTGCTGGTGATGCCTTCATTGGTGCTGTTCTTTACGGTGAGTTGGGTTGTTTGATGTATGATGGGGTGAGTCGACTCTCTTTCTCTGTGAGTCGACTCTCTTTCTCTGTGAGTCGACTCTCTTTCTCTGTGAGTCGACACTCTATCTCTGTGAGTCGACTCTCTTTCTCTGTGAATCGACACTCTATCTCTGTGAGTCGACGCTCTATCTCTGTGAGTCGACTCTCTTTCTCTGTGAGTCGACACTCTATCTCTGTGAGTCGACTCTCTTTCTCTGTGAGTCGACTCTCTATCTCTGTGAGTCGACGCTCTATCTCTGTGAGTCGACTCTCTTTCTCTGTGAGTCGACTCTCTTTCTCTGTGAGTCGACACTCTATCTCTGTGAGTCGACGCTCTATCTCTGTGAGTCGACTCTCTTTCTCTGTGAGTCGACACTCTATCTCTGTGAGTCGACTCTCTTTCTCTGTGAGTCGACACTCTATCTCTGTGAGTCGACGCTCTATCTCTGTGAGTCGACTCTCTTTCTCTGTGAGTCGACTCTCTTTCTCTGTGAGTCGACACTCTATCTCTGTGAGTCGACGCTCTATCTCTGTGAGTCGGCGCTCTCTATCTCTGTGAGTCGAAGCTCTATCTCTGTGAGTCGGCGCTCTATCTCTGTGAGTCGACTCTCTTTCTCTGTGAGTCGGCGCTCTCTATCTCTGTGAGTGGAAGCTCTATCTCTGCGAGTCGACTCTCTTTCTCTGTGAGTCGACTCTCTTTCTCTGTGAGTCGACTCTCTTTCTCTGTGAGTCGACACTCTATCTCTGTGAGTCGACGCTCTATCTCTGTGAGTCGGCGCTCTCTATCTCTGTGAGTCGAAGCTCTATCTCTGTGAGTGGAAGCTCTATCTCTGCGAGTCGACGCTATATCTCTGTGAGTCGACGCTCTATCTCTGCGAGTCGACGCTCTATCTCTGCGAGTCGGCGCTCTATCTCTGCGAGTCGAGGCTCTATCTCTGCGAGTCGACGCTCTATCCCTGCGAGTCGACGCTCTATCTCTGCGAGTCGACGCTCTATCTCTGCGAGTCGTCGCTCTATCTCTGCGAGTCGACGCTCTATCTCTGTGAGTCGGCGCTCTATCTCTGCGAGTCGACGCTCTATCTCTGTGATTCGACTCTCTATCTCCGTGAGTCGGCGCTCTGTCTCTGTGAGTCGGCGCTTTGTCTCTGTGAGTCGACGCTCTGTCTCTGCGAGTCGACGCTCTATCTCTGCGAGTCGACGCTCTATCTCTGTGAGTCGGCGCTCATCTCTGTGAGTCGACGCTCTATCTCTGTGATTGTGAGTATCTATTTATGGTGATGTATGGCTGTTGTTTTGAGCTATGTGCATGGCAAGTCCTTTGTTAATAGAGGTATGTCTGTGCTGTGGATGAAACACATAAATCCTTGGTGCTTTTGCTTACCAGAGTTGCATGAGTTTTTCTTACTACATTTTTCCTGGCCCACACTATCCTACGTGCAGCCATTTCTGCTTGCTTCACTGTTGATCGCATGCTCGCACTCGGCGCTACTATTGTACGTATGCGTAAACTTTTCGACATCCGTCCTTTCGCCCCAAATTCTGTTCCGTCCGTGCATCCGTCTCCTTAAGTCCTTACTCGCCGGTGATTTTACTAGTATGTTCTACCGGCATCATGGTATGTCTTCCATGTTTTTCACATACTGGTATCTCCATGGATGCTATCGTGACCCCCAGGCTGCAGCGAAGTGCCAAGCCCTTGGAGCGCGTCAAGGCCTGCCCCGCCGTGACGACCCTCGCCTTGCGCACCTTCTTGAGCCTGAGCGTGCTGTTGCTTCTGGTTTGTAAAATATCTACAACAGAAATGTACACTTTTTTTTGTTCAGTTCTTCTTGTACATTCCAACTTTTTTTAGGCCTTGTCCAATGACGAGGTCTGACATCAAAGCACCTCATCTCGTCAGTCTTCCACAACCGTGTCGCCTTTTCTGTCCCCCGCGTGACCGTTGGAGGGAAGTGGCGCTTCGATTCATGGCCTTGCCTTTGGGGACCACACCGAAATGTTCCCGAGGCGAAAACAAATGTGAAGCCTGTTGCTGCTGCTGGCGCTGCTGGTGAGGCCCAATTGGAAAACAAGGTTGCTGATAGAAAGCCATTGAAAAATAGAAGACTTTCAGTGCATCGCAACACTTGGTCGTGACCATCAAGTTGCGAGGTTGGTTTGCAACAGCCACGGTGTGATCGTGTGAAGGTTTCCGCTCTTATGTCGCTGAGATTCCTTAGGAATGTTTAGGCAGCGGTGGAGAGATTTCCTGAAAATGGCGTCTGTGACATAGACGGAGCCCTGAGCTTTCTGTGCTGCTGGTGCTCGCCCTGGGAAAAGTTATATTCTGTAACGTTTTTCTGCGGATATGGCCGCCATATAGTTTGCAAGATTACTTGTTTATCCATCCTCGATTCAGAACGGTATGGCATGCGTGTCTCCCCTTACTGTCACAGTATATCGTAGTACCGCCATCGCTTTCTTCATTCTAGTCGCGACTGGCTGCTGGTCATCAATATTTGCAGAGAACCTGGCGGTCAGCGACGCTTCACTGGCAGTAAGAGGTTATCCGCAGCTAAGGGTGAAGCAGTGGCCTGATACGTGGTCAGGACCCGAGGAAATTCCAAATTCTCTTTCAGAAAAAGGGAGAACGATTATTGAAAGGGAATGGAGCGATACAGCTGCACCGTTGCAGGAAATGAGGGACGAGCGCTCCGTGCTGGCTGGTCGGAGCTTGCTGAGTAACGTGAATGTATCTAGAGACCACTCAAGAAAACCTGGAAAATTAGCAAAGTCGACCACTGCTGTGAGCAACAGGAAGCGGGATAGCAGAGTACACACTCGACGGTCTGAGGCCTCAAATGGAGCACAGGGTGGGAGGATGGGCAAGCGAATCGATCAAGGAAAGAAGCCGCAAAAAGAAAATACTATAAATAGGCGGAGCAGTAATGGACGGACAAACAGGCGCGCATCGGCGATGGTTGTTACTCCACCGTCATCCACGTCATCATCTCCCCCATCCGGTAACAAATCGCGATCGTCACCATCAGCATCATCGCCATCAACGGCCAAAAAATCGCCTCCACCAACCAGAGCCGTGTCATCCTTGTTCCCCCTCTCCTCAAGCTCTTCCTCCAATTCTTCTCGGAAACCGCCGTCACAATCACAATCACCGACACCATCAACACCATCAGCACCATCAGCACCATCAGGGCCATCATCGCCATCATTGCCCCCACGGGTAGCACCTGCGGCATGGGGTGCGTCGAGGATGCAGCTGGTGACGGTGCCATCTGCCAGAGCCGTGTGCCTCGACGGCAGGTGCGCCACCCAACACAATAGGCCCCGATTAGTAGCTCCCAGCGTTCGACATCCATTGTACTCACAGCACGTCACGAGCGAACTTTCCCCATAGTGTTTCAATTTCGTCTATGTCACCGCGACATTCTCAGGGAATTCCGCCTTTTCGTTTGCACTACCTGACCCCTCAACCTCATGTCTCCTTTCTTTCCTCCCCCTCACACCCTATTACCGTCCAACTCTCTTTTCTGACTCACTGTTTTCCTCTCATGGTCCATCCTGCATCCTCGTCGCTGCAGCCCCGCTGGTTACTACTTCCGCAAGGGGACGGGCACTGGCGCCAAGAAGTGGCTAATCTACTTCCACGTAAGCCATGCACTGCCACGTCACTCATCAACCAGGGTGCCTCCCTGTACCCAGGCTCCCTCACCCTTCCAACCCCCCACTCACTGACTCTTCCTTGCGCTGCCCCTTCCCGTGCCGCTTTCCATGCGTTGCTCCCAGGGCGGCGGCTGGTGCACGACTGCAGCAGATTGCCAGCAGCGCGCCAAGACCTTCCGTGGCTCCTCGCGTTTCTGGCCGAAACCCACGGATGCCAACTTCACGAAACTGGTAGGGACTTATGTACGGGCCTGTGGGATTCTAGTAACGAGGATGGTTTGTGTAGATTAGAACTCGCAATGTCGGGTCAAGGACATTCTTTCAGAGGGTGGCATTCGTGACAACATCCACAGTGCTGGTATGTTCCTCGTGTTGGGAGAGGCCTGTCAGAAGGTCTACGAATCGAGGAGACCTTGTGGACCTTAAATGCAGGGCTGGGTACGGTGTGGCGCTGGGGACGACGGTTCAAGGATGGTGCAGAGAGGTGCAATGATGTGCAGAGAGGTGCAATGATGTGCAGAGAGGTGCAATGATGTGCAGAGAGGTGCAATGATGTGCAGAGAGGCGCAATGATGTGCAGAGAGGTGCAATGATGTGCAGAGAGGTGCAATGATGTGCAGAGAGGTGCAATGATGTGCAGAGAGGCGCAGAGCGGCACCAAGATATCGACTTGCAGGCTGGCGTAGCTTTGCCGTGTGCACGGGGTGGAGAAGGATGGAGAAGGCAGGTCAACAGACCGTCCTTATGCGGTGCTCCCTGCATTTTCCGTATAGCCCCTCTCCTCCCCCACACCCTCTTCTCCCTACTCTCATGTCACGGGCATTCAGACTGCGAATGATTTATGACGACCTCAGAAACTGTATTCTTCCCCACACTCCCCCTCCTCGTTCCCCGTATCCACCCCTCTTCACCCCTCTTCACCACACTTCCCCTCCTTGTACCCCGTACCCCCCCTTCTTCCCCATCCGCCTGCATCTCTCTCGCAGATGAACGACTACCACACGCAGTTCGCGGGCATTCTGAGTGCATGTAATCTCTGAGGCACCTCAGAACCTGCCTTTTCTCCCACTTTCCCCCTCTGCGTCTCCCATACCCCCCCTCCCCGCCCCATCCACCCGCATCTCTCCCCCAGATGAACGACTACCACACGCAGTTCACTGGCATTCTGAGCGCAGATACTACAACCAACCCCGTTTTTGGGAACTGGAACCTGGCAGTGCTTATGTACTGTGACGGAGGGGCGTATATGGGGTACAAGGGCCGTGTGGCAGTGGGCTCGTCTCGTGTGTTCTACTCTGGTCGGCGAGTCGTCATGCTGCTGCTGGAAGGTGCGTAGGGTCTGAAGGGGGTTGGCGCATGACCAATGGAGGATCTTGGTGTGAAAGCAGCAGCTCAACAAAAAGAGTCGCTTAGAATAGTAGCCTAAGGTGAATCATTCACAGGGCGCTGAAGCAAACCGAGCTTAGGTGGTCGGTGGGACGAAAGGGAAGTTTTGGTTGTGACGGATTTTTGTGATTCTCAAGATGAAGATCTCAAGATGACGGTCTGTAAACGTAGCCCTTACATGACAAGCCACGCTGTCTCCTCCTTGCAGATATGCTCAAGATTCGTGGGTTGTCAGCAGCATCAGCAGTGCTTATAACGGGTTGCTCAGCTGGGGGACAGGGAGTTGCAGTGAGTTGTGACTGGATGGCCTCTCGCCTTCCCTCGGCCACCACTGTCAAGTGTGCCATCGACGCTGGATACTTCTTAGGTGAGGCATTGCAGAAGTTTGTGAAAGTATTGGATTAACTGGTTGAGATTTGAACATCTTCTGAGATACAAAATATGGTATTTCCATATTGTTGATCCATGCTGCTGCGTGCCTTTCCCCTTCACCTGTTGATTCGATCTGCTTCAACCGACCATCCTCCATTCGTGTTCCCAAGCTCCGTCCTCCCACACCTCCCCCATTTCCCACCCCACCTTTACGCATTCCTTTACCTCTCCCTTCCCTTTTCCCTGTACCTGCTCTTCCAGACGAGCCAGACCTGGTGGGGCACTTCTCGTTTCGTGGCATGATGCAGCGCATGATGGTCAGCCAATGGAGTGACGCGTCCTTCGACCCGCAATGCGTCAAAGGTGAGACCGTGACGGAATCCGCTCGCGAGGTATGATTCTAGGACCCACATTGTGTGAATGGGTCCGCACGCCGTTCCCTGTCTCTCCCCCAACTTATCCACCTTCCAGCCCAACCTTCCCATTGACTCACCTTTTTTCCATCCTCACATTTTTCCATCCTCCCCACAACCTGTTGGTCGTGATCAGCCTATCCCCGCACCGAGAAGTGGCGCTGCATATTCCCAACCAACGCTCTACAGCACACCCAAACGCCGGTTCTCGTCCTCAACTCAGCATTTGACCTTGCAGCACTGGCCATCGGGCTGACCAGAGGCAACGTTGAGGCCATGACAGGCTCGTATGAGAGCGTTGTTCCGTGCTACCGCTCCGATCGCTTTCTCTCCTGCCCCAGGAGAATTCGCAAGTATGTAGGGCACCATGCCATAGTGCTCAGAAACTCGCTGCAAGCATTGGTGAAAAACCGGCAAGCAGCAGGGGTGCAGTCAACAGCAGTAGTTCCTAACAAAACAAGCCATTGTACCATGGCTTATGACAACTGGTCAGTACCTGATGCCAGTGGTGTCAGGCTCAGGGACGTGGTGGCTGCTTGGTTCTTTGGCAAGCAGCTGTGACAGAACGTAGCCAAGTTCCAGAGGTACGGTAATTATTATTGTTTTGCACATTCTTTGTTGTAAGGGCATCTACATATATGGTTTCCCTGTTCCACAGAGCAGCTCACATAGAAATATTGCATCGCAGAGGTGCCGAATCATCAAAGCTTTATTCAGAAACGACTTGCTGGAGTCGGCCAGAACTAGCACCCCAATAGCAAGGGCTGTCAGAACGAATCGTTTATATCATGCCACCCCTGGGATACCCTTCCGCCAGTCGTATGGTATGTACAATGAATACTCGGCAGAAAATGAGTAAACCCCTTTAAGAACAGCAGGCGTGGCGACGACTAGAAAAGGCCGCAAATCCGCAATCCCTTCGAGACGGACGACTCTGCTACGCAGCCATCATCA